CATAATCCAAAAATACCCCCTCCCCCCATCAAATGTTCAAATGGTCGGTGCCTTTACGGCTCGTTCCAGATTATTGCAATTATACACAGTAAGTACCATCTTTTAACGTCTCGAGGAACTGTGGGCTGTGGGGTAGCCTAGTGGTTAATGCGTTGGCTCGTCACACCGATGACCCGGGTTCGATTCCCCACATGGGTACAACCCCATTTCTTGTGTTCCCCGCCGTGATATTTCTGGAATATTACTAAAAGCGGCGTAAAACAATACCTCACTCACTCACTCGAGTAACTGAGCTTCCTCTCCAAAGAAAACCATAAGTGACGTCACATTGGTTAGTCCCACGAGCCTGGGTGTGTTGCTGACAAACCAATGGCCATATTTAGGGTAGATCTGTGACTAGCGTCAATCACCTACTGATCCTGACCATGGCAAAGGGACGCAAATCTGCATAACGAGTTACGACATTCTTGGTCCCGAGATTACAGTTTACTTATAGATTATAATCTATAAATGGGGTTGTACCCATGTTCAACTTTTTGTCCGAAACATGCGATCAAATTGTGAGAAAGAAAACTTTGTCATAATGATTTAGACAACATCTGTTCATTTGTAACTTTATGTTTCAAACATCCAAGTCCCCTTTTCATTTTGTTGGATTTCTAACTTGCTGACAAGCGCGTTCGTATTTACCCTCTGTGTGTGACTGAAGCGGAGTTTGTACAGCGCAGTGTATGTCTTGCGGCTTGTAATGTACATTGCCTGGTATTTAGATCGTTATTCTACAGCGAGCCGAGCGCCAGCGTGTCGGAACCTGGACAGTGTCGCATTTTGTCTTAATGGCGGGAATAAAGATACATTTGCAAATAACCCTTTTTCAGTTTATTTGTCTGAAGGTCTGGCGCCGAATGCCTGCTGGGTAAAGCACACAACATATCTGGTTGTAACCCGTGTTAAATGGTTGAATAATCGCCACTGGACTCGCTGACTTGTATTCACTGATCTGTCTACACTGCACTCAATTTTAGTTACATATTCAGTTTATTTCAAATACAAAGGTGGCCACATATAACAGAAGCACAGTCCGTGATTTGAGTGGTGCCGTTTTTATCAATATTCCAGCAATATTACTGTGGGAGATACCAGGCATGGGTTTCATACTGTTGAAATCGAACCCGGGTCTTTCGACGGAACTCGTTAACCCCTGGTTTACACCCACCGTCCAGAATAACAATTATATGCTTTGATGTAGGTGAGGTGAGGTGAAAATGGGTTTAACGTCGCGTCCAAGATTATTGCACAGCGACGTTCATGCACGTGTATGTGTGGGTGGCTGCTTGTTCTAGTCCGGACTGATGCCGATTTATAGTGCTAGCACACTGAGATATCATGCCGCAGTTAAACATGGATACCCCACTCAGACACAGTATACTGACTCCGAGCCGACCAGTCCTTGTTTTAGCCCTTTAGTGCCGAGCGCCAGACAGGGTAACAACAAGTACCATCTTTTAACGTCTTTGGTATGACGCGGCCGGGCATCGAACCCCGGACCTTCCGCTCTCTGGGCGGACGCTCTACCACTAGACCACGGAGGCGGTCCGCTTTGATGTAGAAACAAATAATAAAGGTTACTGGCGTGTTCGCAGAGATGAGTACTGTGTGAAACAAAAGAACGCATTAGAAATCGTTTAATGTTTGTATCTTGCGTAATGAACGTGATTCAAACGTGGCCATGTAACTTCTCCTGAATATTTGGCGGCGTTTGGGTTGCTGTTAAATGCGGCTTAGTCTGTTGTTATTAACATAAGGGTAAATTTTCATACGATGGGGAAAGAAGAAAATATAGGTATTGTATGATTGTCTGCCTTGAGTGTATGAGTGAGTGAGTGAATTGGGTTTAACGCCGCTTTTAACAGTATTCCAGTTATATCACGGCGTGTCAGCTTAATGTGGGAGGAAAACCCGAAGTGATGCAGGTCTCAGACGTTTACCGCTTCGGTGAAACCCACGAGCACGGGTATGGTGCTGACAAACCTAGAAACATAATCAGGATGAACCGGGATTCGAACCCACAATCGTAAGTTTCTGGCGTGCCCAAAGGACGCAACTCTGCACAGCGAATCGCGGCGCCTTAGACGACTGGGCCACCCGTGCCCCCTTGAGTGTATGAAAGATGGAGGTGACGCGACACCTAATAGACACTCAGCTGTGGTGGACACCGTGTCACAGTAGTTTTAGTTTATCGTGTCCGCTTCACGCGAGAAGAGACGAACATGACATCTGTTATAATGTAGAACCCACATTAAGAACATTTCTGTTAGTTCTGATGTGGTTGAAAGCTAAATTAACACATCGTGCTGGTGACATTGTGCTGGTTGGTAATCGCTATTATAATCTGTATAAAGATATCCTCTCAGTAGAAGACTACTTATTGTATTTACCTCATAATTTACGCATCTGGCTTACTAAATTCAGAACCACCAACCACCGACTCCCAGTTGAGACTGGCCGATGGTATAACCTCAATAGGGAAGATAGGCTTTGCTCTCTCTGTAAAAATGAAATTGGTGATGAATTCCATTTTATACTAGAATGCCATGAATTGGATCATTTAAGAAATAAATATCTCCCATTCTATTATTGTAAATATCCAAATACTTGTTTCACTTATGACTTGTTCTTATAAACCTCTCCTCTTACGACTAGCCCAGTATGTAAAATATGGACTGTGTATTCTCCACTAGGTATTGTCTTATTTCTTTGTATATATGTCTCTCTTGTCAACTTCTTTATGTCACCACGGTGATTCATGAGAAATAAACATCTTCTTCTTCTGGTAAGCGATTAACAGTCTTGATTAACACCACACCGCGGCAGTGAGCGGCCCGGTACCTGGCAGTAAATGCCGTATGTACTTTCACCGCCCTTGAACAGTTGGTTGTGCTGTGTGTATGGATTTGATATGAGTACAAGCCAGTACAACCGAACGGCTTATGGCTATGAACACGAACTAATGTCAAAGTAATCTCTCATACGGAGACTTTCAAAATGTTTTATTGTTTCAGTATGGTGAACGTATCACTACATGAAAAAATGGGTTCTTAAAAAATGCCAAAAGACAAAACTATTCTAATATTCGATTATTACCCGAAAATATACGACAGGCAAATTATGCTTATCCTTGATGTACGTGTTTTTCTGATTATGGTGACTCATCCTAGATGTACGTGTAGGAACAGGCAAATTATGCACTTACCAGTTTGTTGAGACGCGAAATATGATAGTGTGTTAAGACAATTTGAACCGATATAACTGACAGAGATAGTTTGCTGTAAGGACAGACGGCGACGATAAGACTCTCTGAACCAAATGGCAGTTAGTATGGGCTTATGAATATCTGAACCCTGAGATCAGGTGGGAGGTTAAGATTATCTGAACCACGATATCAGTTGGTAGTGTTAAGAAGATCTGAACCATGATGGCAATTAGTTGGGATAGATGAATATCTGAAGCGTTATGGCAGATGGTAAGGTTCAGAATATCTGAATGGCGATAGCAGATAGTGAGGTTAAGATTATCTAAACCAAAATGACAGTTAGGTTATATGGATAACTGAAGCGCTATACCAGACGGTTAAGTTGAGAATATCTGAACCGTGATAGCAAGTGGTTAGGTTATAGTATCTGAAGTGCTATAGCAGATCTGAACAGCCTTATCAGATGGTGAGGGTCAGAGTATCTGAACAACGATCACAGTTAGTGAAGGTATATGAACATCTGAACCGCGACAGCAGATTGTGAGGTTAAGATTACTGATAGTGAGGTTTTGCTAATCTTGGCGTAAATAGGGGATTGGAACGTGGTAAAAGTTGGCCATATTCTCTTCTCCACTCTCTTAATACTCTACCAGATACATACATACAGTGAGTGAGTGAGTGAGTGAGTTGGGTTTACCGCCGCTTTTAACAGTATTGCAGCTATATCACGGCGTGTCAGCTTAATGTGGGAGGAAAACCCGAAGTGATGCAGGTCTCAGACGTTTACCGCTTCGGTGAAACCAACGAGCACAGGTATGGTGCTGACAAACCTAGAAACATAATCGGGGCGAACCGTGATTCGAACCCACACTCATAGGTTTTTGGCGTGCCAAAGGGACGCCTTAGAAGACTGGGCCACCCGTGCACCCCTTGCCCCCAGATACATACAGTGAAATCTCGCTAATCTAGACAGTATCATTTTCAGTAACATCGTCTGAATGATTAAAATTCATAAAGTAATGTCCCTTTGTATGTAAAGCCTTTTAACATAATTGTCCTGACTAATGGGTCGAACGTAGCGGGGTTTCAGAGTATATCAAATTATTTAAGTGAAACACAGATGACAAATACATTTCATGGCACCCTAATCGTAAAATCAAGTTGAAATATATTAAGACATATTTTGTCTTATACGATAGCAAAGTTCACGTCAGACCTGAAGAAAGCTCATATGCGTCAGTAGTTTTGTCTTTCTATTCTAGATCAGTTTTAAGATAACACGATTCGACAGAACGATAACATAAAATAATCCTCAATTATTACAGGTTGATTAAAAAGCAAATGTGTCTTTCACGAGCTGAAATCCCCTTCCTTTTGTCATTGAAAGAGTCATTTATCATCAGGAAAAACCCTATTTTTCACATCAGGCCCGAAATAACAGCACGAATCACAACCAGTACCGGCTGGGTCCCACACGCCCATTGTTCGTATCCATGACAAACCGGAAATCCTCCCTTATTTGGCAACACAGAGCCATTGATAAATTTCCCTGCGTTTCGTCAATAACATTATAGCGGTCTAGAATCGAGAATTTGTCAAAAATCAATAATTTATTCATCGCGTCACATCAACAACCTAAGTTCTTTGCTTACGCAGACGATACAAGCAGCCAATCAGCAGCCAGGCCCCTGTTGACGTCACGACTGTCGAAGACGGGAGAAGCATTTCGAATCGATATTCGGACCGATTTCATAATTAGTCACTAGTTCCCGACTGTTGCCGCGCACGGCCAAACGACGCCATCTTGGAAGTTAAGGAAAGAATATGGCGTGAATATTTCAACAGGCTGAAGCCATATTTGCTGTGTGACATCCCAATATTGCAGAGATTTTTGTGAATTTCAATCCCTATTTACACAATGCCAGTTCAGCAAGGAGAACACCCTCTTCAACATTGTAAGTCCTCCATGTCGTATCTCAGTTGTGTCGGAATGTCCGTTCCATGTTTTCATGTCTTGCCACTGTCGAATGTTTTGAGTGTCAGATTGTGTGTGGATTTGTATCTAGGAGGGATGGTCACACATATTTAATCTTTATTAATAATACACGTATATTTAATGTCATCCACTTGAATTGGAAAAGATATATGTTCTTATATTACAATTAACACACGTAGGTATGTGAGATTAACATTGGTTTGCGGGAAACAGATATGGTCGTTCATATTTCAACATAACTGTGGCGGTCGTATTGTATTTGGATGGGTGTTATTTTTGTAAATCGTTATGAATACTCTTTTTTTCATGTAAGTGCCATTTTTGATGCATGATAATTTTTTAAATGGAAGGTTAACCGTCATTATGCACATTCGAATAAAACAGATTACCAACGTTCATCAATATCGAGATGTGGCCATAGTAAAGCTATAGAAGTAGGTCATCAAGTCTATAGAACAACATCGGGAGTCTTTGTAAAATTGTCCCGTGTCGAAATCGGCGGGTTCTGTACCCCCGACATTGAAGCAGCAACACCCTCGGATGCTTGTCACACCCATCATCTACAGCACACTCCCACGCAGCCGGTGATGTCCGCTTGCCGTCTTGTGTGATTTTGAAATACGCTCTGAAACACTTTGAAAATCACAATTACTGCTTTCGTGATATATAATGCCCATTTTGTTGAAAGAAGGCGTCCACTTGAAAATTAGATTTGACCAAAAAATAACAAACGTACTCGGCTGAAAACTGTCGCCTGTTGTGAGAAACTCATTGATATGGTGCATGTAATATCGCCTATGATACCTGTATGAAATAGATCACCATCAAATAACTATTTCTCCTTTGTTTTATGTTGAGCCCCGATCACACATGTGTCTATACTGTCTATCGCCCGGCAGTTTACTTTCATTCGGTTGTTTCGCGAAAACCATCTTAGATAGTCTATATATACATAGTTTACAGTCCAATGACCAATTGTTCTTATTCATTTTCTAAACGTTTTTTCAGCAAAAAGGTTTAAATCGTTATCAAAACAATAATATGAATATTCGGGTGATCCATTCATTTACAAAATTCAGAAAAATTCAATTAATGTTTTCAGGTCCGGTTACTCAAATGTTAAGTCTTGTATTTAGAATAGAATATGATTGTTGTATAAATAATTGTTGTATAAAAAATAATGTCACGTTATGCCGAAGTGGCACTCGTCAGATTTCATCTAACGACGTCAATAGCAGATTATAACAACTCAACTGCTGTCGTGTGTCGTAACAACATCCTCCATCCTGTCACGACCTAGCTCATGGCGGTTTGGGGGATATATTAACAAGACGCAGTACGCCCACGGTGAAAGGCCTTGGTCGAAACTCTCCATATGGTACCGTGAAAGTACTAAACCCCGTCGATATTGTCTTCCCCTTGATGTTCCACCAGCTTCATTATTATTGGCGCAGCTCCGTTTTATTGATTTAAAACGTTTAAAGATATCGTGTGTTGTTTGAAGGAATTTGTTGCGATGTTGAAATCAATATGTCGCCTTGTGTCGAAAATGGTCAGACTGGCTTTGAACGCGGGAATGCTGAATTCAGCGAAAATGTCAAGAGATAGCAGGTTGCGTTGTTAATCTTGTGTGATAAGATACAGAACACTCTAATTCAATTGAAAGCAGTATTCTCAGACATTTAAATCATCGCGAAAGTAAATTGTATTAGTTTTATTATTTTCTACAGAAACGAAAAACGTGTTTTGAATTAAATAGACCTTAGTTCACATGCACAGACATTCATCATCATCATCATCATCATCATCATCATCATCATCATCGCCACGAACATGAACACCACAGCATCACTACCACCACTCTTTCATTACTTTACTCCATTACACTACTCTATTAAATCTCCACAACACCATGAACATCTCATCTCCATCAGCATCACTGTTGTCACTCCACAATTCTCCAATCACCACCACCACCATAACTAACATCCCTCAAACCATCACCGCCCCATCGCAACCACTTCAGCACCACCACCATCACGATCCAATCATGACACCACCATCACTGCTACGACCACAACTAATTTGTATTTTTGGGTTCAACTCTTGCTCCGCTGTATTAAAGTTGGCAGGAAACCCATCAACATATTTATCATCCAATCGCACTTTTTGCAGTCTGTCTATCAGTGCTAGTAGTTCCTATGAATGTGAAGTTATATTTGCTGGAATGCTGCGCGGCAAAATTAGCCTCAAACCAGTCTTGTTTAAAGTTGCCCCAAAGCAGACTTGCCTATTGATTTCCTGGGCAGTGCAAATAATCCCGCAATCAGACCAAAAAGCGCGTCTTCAGAAACGAAGCCCCATTACATGAGAATCACGTTGTCTCTTGTTTAAGTCAACATAACGTCTTTGGATGTCCTCCGATGCTGGCATATTAGCTAAACTGGCGATGCAGTGTGCCAACTCGCTCCCGGAAACACATCCTCTCTCCTTGCGACAAACTAAGCATCATATTGCTCAGAAATGCCTTCAATCTTCTCAAGACTCATCGCCACTGGTTGCCCAGACCTTTAGTGAGAACGTTCAAGTGGATTCAAGTCATGTAATTTCAGTGTGCCTATCCTGACCTGGACGACTGGTTCAGACTAAACACAGCCCAACTGTCCGGGGACCTTTGTCGCCTCTATAACTCAACTGTATGAACCTATATCTCGCCTCTATACCTAATTGTATGAACCTGTGTCTCGCTTCTGCACAAATCTGTGTGAGCCTACGTCTCGCCTCTATACCAAAATGTGTGAACAAATGTCTCGCCTCTATACCCGAATGTATGAACCTATGTCTCGCCTCAATACCCATAGGTATGAACCAATGTCTCGCCTCAATACCCAACTGTATGAACTATGTCTCGCCTCTATACCCAACTGTATGAACCAATGTCTCGCCTCTATACCCACTGTATGAACCAGTGTCTCGCCTCTATACCCAACTGTATGAACCAGTGTCTCGCCTCTATACCCAACTGTATGAACCAATGTCTCGCCTCTATACACAACTGTATAAACCAATGTCTCGCCTCTATACCCAACTGTGCGAACCAATGTCTCGCCTCAATACCCTACTGTATGAACCAATGTCTCGCCTCTATACCCAACTGTATGAACCAATGTCTCGCCTCTATACACAACTGTATAAACCAATGTCTCGCCTCTATACCCAACTGTGCGAACCAATGTCTCGCCTCAATACCCTACTGTATGAACCAATGTCTCGCCTCAATACCCTACTGTATGAACCAATGTCTCGCCTCTATACACAACTGTATGAACATATATGCAATCAAAATGGGAAATAATGCAATAATCAAAATCACGCAAATAAATAAATCAAGTGTTATCTAACCGATTACAAACAACATTACATTATTGACTTTTTACGTTTTAACAACAAAAAGTAGACGAGAGGAATAATTAAGTATTTCACCAGGCAACGCATGCACTTGATCTCTGTGAAGCCTTACGCCCGATGGGATAATAATTCTATTCGTGTCATTTCCATGGCAACCCTTTGTCAAGGAGTGTTATAATTGTATTGTGTGGGGCAACCTGTGCATGTGTGTCCCCTGGGAGGTTGTTATATAGTGCCCACGGGGCATACTGCCCAGCACGCGGCCGCGCGGTCACGTTACAACCGGACCAAGCTTCATTCAACTCCCTCTGCTGATGATCGATTCACGAGAACTTCTATTAAAGCAAGAAAACTTTTAAACAAAAATCACAGTACCGGAAATCACATTAAGGACATGATATGCCATCTAGCCGTAATATGAGCTGTACCATGTGAATATGTGTCATTTGTTGGGAATTATTGTCAGCATCTGCACGCTCTGACACTGATCTGACTACCGTCACTAGCCACTGCTACGGATGCTGCCGCGTGTCTGTTGTTACTGTCGCTGTTACTACGGTACTGCTTGGTAGGACAGGAGGCTCGGAGTGACACAGATTCAAAGACAAGGGTCCTGTATCTGAATTCTGAAGCACCACCAGTACTATTTTTAGTGGAAAATCGGCTTTGCGTTCAGATCGATGTCCCGTTACAAATAATCAGAGATCGATAAACAATTAACAAATAACAAGTTTCCTGAATTGCTGCAGGGGTTTTCGTTTGAAAACAAAACTATATTGATATGCACGATAGTGTTTAACCCCTTCTGTTTCCTATTCTCCCGGGTTATGCAGCCATCTTGCGATAAGCAATGGTGTTTACCTGTAAAATGCGTTTGCTGAGCGACAAGGAAAACGTACCGATCGACCCCCTATTGTCTCATACTGTTTGGTCCTTTCTAAATAGGAAAATGTCTTGGAGAACAATTCCATCAATGCAGGCTGCTAATTCCTCGCGCGGAAGCTTCTCGCCCGAGTTTGGCTATCACTGTTGTTCGCAGGGTAGGGGCATTCAATACGTCCACGCAATGATGCACTGACACTGGTTCAGTGTCACTAAAGGTCTTACTGAAGAACTCATTGTACAAAGGTATTGGCAGACTGCATGCCAAGTTCGATCTATATTTTCAACAAGGAAACAGGTGTGGTTTTAATTAGCTGTCGTGGATTACGTGAAGCTATGTGTTGGGAGACACTGGGCGCGTCCTGGAGGGGGAGTGTTAGAGTGTCACGTCAGGACTACATGAAGCAATGGCTTACCTTACAATATGTAGACAACGCAAACAGTATGTAAACAGGGGCAGCAGAAAATAGATTATCGTACATTTTTGGGACAACGGAAAATGCTTACGTTACAATATGGTGACAAAGACAACAGCTTATCTTACAATATGGTGACAAAGACAACAGCATATGTTACAATATGGCGACAAAGAAAACAGCATATGTTACAATATGGTGACAAAGACAACAGCATATGTTACAAGATGGCGACAAAGAAAACAGCATATGT